GACTCCACGCAGGAAGATTCCGCGAACCGGCGACCTTCTTGCTGCGAGGCAACAGTGCTACCAACTGCGCCACCCGAAGCCAGTCATGAGAAAGGGTATTTAAGGTGGTCAGCTGCAAGTTGTTCTCCTCTTTGCATCTTCTCTGAAGAGTGGCAACATGGGAGCCTCAAAACAACTCAAATGACCTGAAAACAAAGATTGTTCAACATCATGGTTTAGGGGAAGCTAGCTCAGATATTTCAGCTGTCAGTTTCCACTGTGAGGAGCATAGTGAGGAAATGGAAGACCACAGGCACAGTTCTGGTTAGATCTCAGAAAAGCAGAGGTGAAGGATGGTGAGAACAGTCCAACTCCACCCACAGACCAGCTCCAAAGGCCTACAACATGATCTTGCTGCAGATGGCGTCACTGTCCTTCAACTCGCTCGAGGTACGCTAAAGCACATTTGGACAAGCCAGCTTCACTTTGGAATAAAGTGCTGTGGATTAATGAAACTAAAATTGAGTTATTTGGACATAACGAGGGGCGGTATGCATGGCGGAAGAAGAACACAGCATTCCAAGACAAACACTTGCTACCCACAGTAACATGTGGTACTGGTTCCATCATGCTGTGGGGCTGTGTGTCCAGTGCAGCTACTGGCAATCCTGTTAAAGGTGAAGGTCGCATGGATTCCAGTCAGCATCAGCAGATTCTTGCCAACAATGTTCAAGAATCAGTGACAAAGTTGAAGTTGTGCCGGGGCTGGATTCTTCAACAAGACAACCACCCTAAACACTGCTCAGATTCTACCAAAGCATTCATGCAGAGGAACAAGTCCAACGTTGTGGAACGGCGATCTCAGTCCCCAGACCTGAATATTATTGAAGATCTGTGGTGTGATTTAAAGCGGGCTGTCCATGCTCGGAAACCATCAAACCTGACTGAACTGGAGATGTTTTGTAAAGAAGAATGGTCAAAAATANAGACTCCACGGGTGTCCTCACCGGGACGCAAACCGACAACCTTCTTGCTGCGAGGCAACAGTACTAACAACTGTGCCACCCTGCAGCCCCAATTTGAATACCTTTAGCACTAATTATTGGAACACTACATTTGTTTGGTAAGCTCATTGACCTACATACACCGGTGAAGCCAGTCATGAGAAAGGGTATTTAAGGTGGTCAGCTGCAAGTTGTTCTCCTTTTTGCATCTTCTCTGAAGAGTGGCAACATGGGAGCCTCAAAACAACTCAAATGACCTGAAAACAAAATTGTTCAACATCATGGTTTAGGGGAAGCCAGCTCAGATATTTCAGCTGTCAGTTTCCACTGTGAGGAACATAGTGAGGGAATGGAAGACCACAGGCGCAGTTCTGGTAAAATCTCAGAAAAGCAGAGGTGAAGGATGGTGAGAACAGTCCGACTCAACCCACAGACCAGCTCCAAAGGCCTACAACATGATCTTGCTGCAGATGGCGTCACTGTGCATCGTTCAACTCGGTCGAGGTACGCTAAAGCACATTTGGACAAGCCAGCTTCACTTTGGAATAAGGTGCTGTGGATTAATGAAACTAAAGTTGAGTTATTTGGACATAACAAGGGGCGGTATGCATGGCGGAAGAAGAACACAGCATTCCAAGACAAACACTTGCTCCCCACAGTAACATGTGGTGCTGGTTCCATCATGCTGTGGGGCTGTGTGGCCAGTGCAGCTACTGACAATCCTGTTAGAGTTGAAGGTCGCATGGATTCCAGTCAGCATCAGCAGATTCTTGTGAACAATGTTGCGCCGGGGCTGGATTCTTCAACAAGACAACCACCCTAAACACTGCTCAGATTCTACCAAGGCATTCATGCAGAGGAACAAGTCCAACGTTGTGGTACGGCGATCTCAGTCCCCAGACCTGAATATTATTGAACATCTGTGGTGTGATTTAAAGCGGGCTGTCCATGCTCAGAAACCATCAAACCTGACTGAACTGGAGATGTTTTGTAAAGAAGAATGGTCAAAAATACCTTCAACCAGAATCCAGACCCTCACTGGAAGCTACAGGAAGCGTTTAGAGGCTGTTAATTCTGCTAAAGGAGGATCTACCAAATATTGATGTACTTATTCTGTTGGGGTGCCCAAATTTATGCACCTGCCTACTTTTGTTAAAGCAATTATTGCACACTCTCTGTAAATCCTATAAACTTCATTTCACTTCTCAAATATCACTGTGTTTGTTCGCTATATGATATATTTCACTGAAACTGCTGATCCGAACAACCAATGATTAATAAAGGGAAATCTTGAAAATGATCAGGGGTGCCCAAACTTTTTCATACGACTGTTCATATAAAAACTGTCCTGGACAAATTAGAGCACTTTGCTGATGAGCAGTGAAACCAGAACACCTGTCAACAGGTGCAGAAGTCTGACTGAGAGTTACAGAAAACACCTGAAGGCAGTGATTGGCTCAGAGGGCTGTTCATCTAAATATTAGTCCCATCATGCTGGTTTTTGTTTGTTTTTAAATATTTCTGTTGAACCACAATTCAAAAGCAACGTCATGATTTTCTTTTTTTTTTGTCAATTTCAACTTATTTCACTGACAGCTGTGTTTTTCCTTCTTCAACAGGATATGAACACATTTGAGGACGACTGTAGTTATCTCCAGTCCTGCTCCCAGAGCCTGAAATATGAATTTCCGTAACTTATATAAAATGCAAAGCTACCTTTACCTAAACCCGTCTACTAGGACGAGTCAAAGCAATACTCCTATCAACAGTTCACCTTATATTTGCGTTCAACACTCCAATTACTGATATTATGGAATAAGATAACTGTCAAAAAGGCGTGTGCATGATTCTAACATTCGTATTTATGTCAATAAAAATCTTGTAGCCAAAACTCTGGTTTCACATCCGTGAGTCTGAAAACTTGTGTGGATTAGAATAGTTTTTATGTGAGTATGAATCTAAAAGCTGTGAGTGAAAATTCTTGTGAGTAAAACTCCAATTTCTACGACTACGAAGTCTTCTCCTCTCTCTGGACACGAATTCAAGTTTGTGGCTACGAGTAAAGTGTTGAAGTGACGTCACACAGGGAGTATTTGATCTGGCGACGATACCAAACGCTACATGTTCCAAATTCAAAGATGGCTGACAAAAGGTGCTCCGGGTGGAGCTGCCAGCAACGATGTGTTGCTCTGTTTACAGAAGTAACAGAGCCATATAATGATTAGAGGTTATTGGTTTATCTTGCTGGATAGTGTTTGGTTAGGTTGCAAATAAATAATATTAAATACGGAGTAATGGAGTCAGGCTCTGCCTTCCACTATATATATATATATATACATAATATACTCTATGTATAGATGATATAAGTAAGGGATAATGCCCGACGAGGTGTCCATTATCAGAAATTAATGGACGACGCGGAGGCGTGCTTCCGCGAAGTCCATTAATTTCTGATAATGGACACCTCGAAGGGCATTATCCCGCTTATACCATGGTCACTTACGAAAGATATTACTAAATAAATATTAAATCAATTATTAATACGTTAATGTTGTTTTTTACCGTTAAAATCGTAAGTTTTCCACAACAAGCGGCTGAGCGGACTAT